CTCATTTATTTAGTTTACTTTAGAATTCTCATTAAAGCTCAGCATGGGCTTATGGTTACTAATCAAAGACCATTAGAATAGTTTAAAAGATGTTAATGCCTGGAAGTTCAGAAAAAAAAAGGATAATCATTTTGTGCAAGGCTATATTAGTTAGGGAAAGTTCTCGATCTTTTGCATAAATAGGCCAAATGTGCATTTTACTAGACACAGAGAGATCCTGCCTGTCTCTTTGTGGAGGCTTGACTTCATTTCTGCTGCTCAAGTTGGTTAAGACTTGTCTGGCTGAACTGGGCTATTTTTCACAACGGCAGCAGATGACGGTGTATCACGGTTACACTGTGTGTCTAAACTCAGGGAGCAATTTTATAGGCACTGTTTTGTTTACCTCGACTCTTTCGCCTGCCTCACTAAATCCCATCTTGCAGACAGAATAACTGAGGTGAGTCGACTTTCCTGGCTCCTAAGACAGACTCTTAGCATTAGGGACAGACTGGTAGCTCTTTTTTTTTTCTCTCTCTCATGTAGCCACTGCTTCCACTAGCTTTTGGATGTTGATAAAAATCAAACTGTGCACAGGTTTAAATTATTATTGAAGATTCACAAGAAAAACTGACTTCCTTAGGATCAAAAATTGCACTCAGATAAATATATCTTTGAGTCGCCGGCCTTATAAAAGTCATACAGCAGAATAGCCACTCAGGGAGGAAAAAGAGCAGATTCAAATTCTTCCTTAAATGAAAGCTTTCTTTACCCTATATTTTCCCGAAAAGAGATTATAAAATTGCCTGAGTTGTCTCGTGACAAAATCTGCCTGATCAGATAAAGTACCCTTTAGTCATTTCCTATAGATCATATATAACATGGATAGCAGGACAATGGATCCCAGAGATCATTTGGAGAGCAAAACAGAGTTGGCACTCTCTCTGAGAAGTTAGCAGAAAGTTTAGGAATTGCTAACCTGGGTCCATGGGTACAGTCATAAGAACCGAGGAGACCTTTGTGTCTTGAGAGGTAGACATGAGTTTGCTGGGTGATAGGGTTCCATGAGGAACCATTTTGTTAGTCCTGCCTGAAACCAGAACAATATTTCAACTGTTAGATAACTCAGTTCTGATAAATGTTCAAAATGTCTTTATCACTCGAATTCAATGTTATTTAGGAAAATAAACAGAGCGCTTTTTAGTAAAGAAGGTGTCTTAGAGATATCCTCAAATTCTAGTGTACCTCAGAGTCACCAGGAAGTCTTGTTAAAGCAGATGGCCGAATGGTGCCCTAGTTTTTCTGATTTGGTAGATCTGCCCCAGGTCCTCAGAATTTGCATTTCTAACAGGTTTCCAGATGATGCAGACACCTGGGTCCAGGACTGCATTCTGAGAAGCATAATCTTGGAGCACAGGATTGAGATTTACATGGGAGAGACTTTTACCTATATTTTTGCCATTTGCCCTCAGAGAACACTCTAAAGGTAATTAGTATTTATTACAAAGGTGTTTTGTGTGCTACTGAGTGAATGCACAAATGAATCCAATTAACTTTCTACCGTTGGTTATAGCAATTATATGAATTTGCTATTATTTCACATTCACAATGAGCATATAAACTATAGAGAGATGAGTTATTGAGAAAAAAAAACACAGCAGGGAGAATTTACTAGGTTTACTGGCTTTGTATCCTGACTTTATTTTTAGGGCAACTGATTGAAAATAATTCCACTTAAAAATAGAGAAGAGCTCACTTGGATATTTATAACTTGACAGGTTAAAACTAGCACAACATTTGAATGAGAAAGTGTGAGTCTTGAAATCTACACAAGCATTTTCTCAAATCCCAATGAATGAATTCATAAGAAATTTCGTTTAAGACACCTGTCGTTCTGGACAGAAGCCGTTACCAACGCAGAGCTCTCTCTTGAAGGGTTAAAATGCTCACTTATCCAAAGAAACGAAACAAAAATTAAACTCCATCAGAGGAAAACCATGTCTTCCTGACTTCAACCTGCAAATTTTTCTGTGTCTTCTGGCATCAACTGGAAGCAGATGGAGGAGAGATAAGAAAGCATCTTGGCCAGACTCTGTCTGCTGCCTTTAGCACCTTCTCAGATGCTCTTGTTTGCAGGGCCCAAGTCCAGGGAGCCGAAGGAAAGGGGCTTCACCCATCCTCATTCTAGGATTTGGTTGTATAAAGGGGTGGGCATTTGTGCTTTTGGGTTCTTATCTACTCACTGCATAAAGCTTTATGGGGTTTAGTGAGTGCCCTTTGGGACATTGTTCTAAAGATGGGAAGGTGAGTCCTGGAGGGCTTTAGGAGGAGGTGTTAGAAAAGCCTGTGTGATTGTAAGGCTGGTGTCTTAATTACTTTTCTATTGCTGTGAATAGACACCATTTTTGAGGCCATTTATAAAAGAAAGCATTTAATTGGGGGCTTGTTCACAGTTTCAGAAAATTAGTCTACCATCATCATGGCAGGAAGTATGGTGGCAGGCAGGCAGGCAGGCAGGCATGGTGCTGAAGTAGTAGCTGAGAGTTTACATCTATGAGAGAGAGAGAGAGAGAGAGAGAGAGAGAGAGAGAGAGAGAGAGAGAGAGAGAG